GTTGGACCCCTAATGAGTCGATCAATTTACCTATTTGGTCAACTATAGGATTGGGGGAGACTCCCATTTGTTGAGTTAAAATGTTTATTAACTCTAAATTAATCTCATCCATATGTTGCCTTAAAGCATAACGAATATAGTATTCAAAAATGGTATTGACTCCGGGACATAACTAACACCACCTAGTCGACCACTTGAGGCATAAATGCCTTGGTTTCCAGTGGCCACTGTGTTTTCTATATATGTATGTGGCAGGATTCGAATGTAACGCAACCATCATGGAATAAGGCATACCATATTGGTGAGGGACAAATGATGACCCTGGACCCCTTGAAAAGAGTGGTCGATTTAGGTCAAATGGCAATACCCATGCCTAGGTTCTGTCATTGTGACTATTGTCACTGAACCATGAACTGCGGTCGATCTTATGGGAGATGAAATTGTCGCGCTTTGAGTTGTGGTACTTACTGGTATGACATCTACATTTTATGTAGAAATCTGCGTATGTGCAGTGTTTGTGTCAGTGCGTGGCATTTTAGACTTAGACAAAATTTTACCACTTCTCAAATTCATACGCACCCTAACTATAAGAAACTTTGTGAAACTGCACACAAAATCTGAAAATATTAACATTGTCCCACCGGGTGTGCCAATTAGCTTACCTCTGGGTTTGGTAAACAACACTGGTCTCTTTAAATCAAGTTTACTGGCGAGATAGACCAGAGAATCTCAATACAGTGATTTAGTTCGTGTGTGTAGTTAAAGTGTTTTCAAAAAGGTTTGTTCGACTGAGAGTCAATCGGCTTGATAAAAGACAGAGTAAATAAGACAAAATGCATTTTAAATTGTAAAAGGTAATGACATAACATTAAAGAAAGGTTGAAAATAGGTTGGTTCAAATATACATTATTTTTGCCGGACTCATTTCACTCATTCAATTGGTTACTCTGAGTGACTAGCATACATGAATGTGAAAGTTTGACCTTTTACAAAGTACACTAAATGCTTTATTTATAATACACAGAAATAACTACTTTTTAAATGAACTTCGTTTCCTTGCATGCCGCGTGTTCTTCATAACTTGCCTCCACGATCCCATGTTCATCACTCCTGATATCAAACCTATATTTTCTCTCCATAACGCTTCGCCTTTGCAGTTTAGGCGCTTATTATTCTTTTAACTCTTTTGGACTTCTTACCTCTCTTGGGTCCAATCCATTCACCATAAACTCTTCTATGATCGACTACACTTACGAAACCTTGATCGATTACCTGTGAGATCATCCATGATCGACATGCTTATGTAATCGACTCCTCATAATTTAATGCTCTTAAAAGAATTTTTTTTAATCTTTTGGGTTGAATTTCTCTCTTTATGAAAATTCTAACCAACACAAATATATACCATATATGAGGTTATGAATTTTACTTTTAAAAAAATAATGAGGTAGTCATGACCTTCCTTTGCCACCTCCTACCTCCGCCACTGATTGTGACGGTAGTCATGACCTTCCTTTGCCACCTCCTACCTCCGCCACTGATTGTGACGGTACCTTATTCTTAACATTTAGGCTTGTAATTATAGTCATTGCGTGTGTTGTAACACTAATTGCGACTATTGAGGCGAGAGTACTAATAACTAGGTTATTTGAACATGTCCACACTTATCATATCATATTATTTGAAATGTTTGATTTTGATTTTGATTGTGAATCTATAATGTGTTATATGATGCAGATGTATCTAACACCAAATCAATTGGACGTGCTAATCCTTTGTACAAAAAAATTGGCATTATATGTTTTTGAAGAAGGTGTGATAGGTTTGGTGATATTTTTCTAAATGATTTTTTTATTTTTCTTTTACTTAGATTTTTCTATTCTTGAATTTCTTTAAGTTAAATGATTTTTTTATTTTTCTTTTACTTAGATTTTTCTATTCTTGAATTTCTTTAAGTTTTTTGAAGTTACGACACATCAAAATATTCAATAGGCAATTCATGATTCTGATTCAAAATTAATCGTAAATCACTCTTCTCTGATAAAATGATTAAAAAAAAGATAATACAGTTTTAAAAAACGGTTAGACTTTTGGTTGTTATTTTAAAGAAAATTTTAAAGGTCCGTTTGTTTTAACCTTTTTTAAAAAAATTAATTTTTATAATATTAAATAATTATGTAAAAAATTAAAAAAAAAATCATAAAAGTTTTAAATAAAAATTTAATTTGAATAGTTATTCTTAAAATATTATTTTAAATATTTTATCTTTTTATTAAAAAAATTTAATATTAAAATTTCAAAAAATCATTTAATTTTAAAGTTATTTTAAATAGATTTTCATAAAAATTATTTTTGAAATAAATTTTTTCAAAAAATTGCAATTTTAACTATGTTTTAGTCTTCAATAATATATATTTATTTTAATAATATATATTTATGTTATATGATGTCAAAATTAGTGTTTTAATTTAGAGAAAAAAACAAATATAAAAAAATTTGTAATATTTTAAAAAACAGTTTTGTAAAATCTATTTTCAAAAATGAAAAAAAAAACTTTTTTTTTTAACTGAAACATACAAGCCCTAAATCTCACATTGTATTGTAATAAGTTATAAAATTACAAATATAACTTGACAATTCAATGTAAAATAATATTTTTAAAATACAAGTGAAATAAATATAGACTATACCTTTCTATGGCTACATATATTCAAATTCTATAATATTTTATGCATATGATTTGTTAAGATAATATATAATTTTTAGTACACATTGTTAAGATAATATATAATTTTTTGAACATATGATTGTAAAAATAATATATAAATCTTCAATACTTGGATCAATGAAATTTAAAATGTACAACAAACTACTCAATGCAATGTTTCTTTGAGGATCAAATTAACAACTAAAACTTAAACCAAATAAAACATAAGTTATTATGTTTAGTTTCATCAATAGGTCAGACATTTCCCCTAACAAATAACTGCCATACAATAATTCACCAGCTACTAAAATGGATCATTCATGCCATTAGTAAAAAGTAACTAGTGAAGCTTTGGTACTAAAAACAAATTTAATGTAGCTTAATGAGCAAGAAAATAAGTTGCAATTCCATTTCTTTCTCAGGGAGTATGAGATAAACTGTGAAGATAACAGCTTTTCCCATACAATTCAAAGAAAATGTTGAAACAGCCTAAGATCAAAGCAGACGAACAACAATGCTATCCAAAAGTGATTATAGCTAATAAAATAGTTGTAACTATTGGAATGTACTAGTAGCTAGTACTTGACACTCCTATGCATTTGGACTCAAATGTATATATTTTTGCTTTAACTATAACCTTTTTAAAACCATTTCCACAAAAAAGGATCAGTATCAATAATATAGGTTGACAAATTTTAGCATATTAAGCTATCAATTTGATCCATTCAGCTTAGCTAGATTAATCTTGTAGCAAAAACAATGAGCTTTTTAACATTAGATCAAAAGATACAAATAAAAAAAAAAGGAATAGTTATTTGAATGGAAATAAAAAAGGATTCAACCTCAATTTTTTGTATTTATCTCCCTTCTTAACTCAATTTTAGAACAAACTCATACAGGTTTTGCATCATACAAACTCATACAAGGGTTGGTTGAACAGATGTAGATAGAGGGTAAGTGGGAATAGGTCGTTGAGGGTTGATAGGCTAAATTGTTGATTACTGCTAAGTTGATATAGGGAAGAAACAGTAGGGATTGAAGTTTAAGCTTGAATAGAGGGCAAAAGTTGGGAGGATGAGGATATGGGAAAAAGATCATCTTATGGAAACATATATTCATTAAAAAAAAACAAATATTATGAGCAGAGTTATTAATCCCGAATAGCAGAGCGGAGCGGCCGACCACAAAAGTGGAAATAGCGGGATAGCGGATAGTGGATATCTTTCGTTGACTTTCATAGCTCTTGAGACATGAATTGAATTGTGTGGTTTCGGTATGGTCAATGGAAAAGAAAATGTGTAAATGTGTTAACAAAGGTAATGAAGTAAGTGAAACTTGTGGAGGTAAAGGGAGCAGGAACCCATAACGCTCTATACATCAGTTCAAGGTGCTTTATAAGCAGTGTGTGAGAAATGAAATGGTAATCTATGGGATTTATCAGCGCTCTTATTAGTAAATAAAATATTATGGTGAAAGATGATTCATATAGCCAATCTTGTTTAGTGGGATAAAGTTTGGTTGTTGTTGTTGTGGAGACGTGTAAAAAGCTAGAAATCACAAGCTGACTTTTACGATTAGTCGGAGAAGAAAATGAATGTGACAGATGATAAAACTGACAATTGAAAGAAATGTTGCATCGTAGTATAAACAATGATACAATACAATTTATGCTTTCAAAATTAAAGAAAATAAACACACGATATTCCAGTATCGCTGAGACAGCTAGATAGAACAAAGAGTTATTGTAGAGAATGAGAAACCTAACAGCAAAGAAGACCAACAATTCATAAAGGAATATTTTACTCCATGTTGCATAAACATCTATGTTCAAAAGCAGAACAGCCACACAAGTATCCGCATTGTTGTCTTAGTGGCAGGACATACAATTAATCGCATCAGATTAAGCCTTATACCAAAAGGCATGTTAAAGCAGATAACTGATTCTTATTCAGAATAAATCAACCGCATTTCACTATGAACAACAAAATAAAATCAATATAAAGGTAAAATGCATGATGCTTTTCTATGCTTACCAACAAGTTAGATAAGACTATAAGAAATCTTTTGATAAAGTTGAAGTGCAGAACACAATTACAATTGTTACAAGGACCCAAAGTCATTCATTATAAGAACATTTCAGCATTTATTTTTCTACAAGTACTTATTGAAAAAACTAATCCTACCTATCAACATAAACAAACCAAATGTCAACATTAACATGAAAATAGTACTAACCAATTCATCAGGTTTCAAATTCCATACCTTTCAATCCAAGACGCATACTCCATTGTTGTCAACGCAGCCCGACCCCGACCCATTCTGGAGGTGGCCAGAAAAACATAGAATAACAAGGAAAACAAGACAATGGCGCAATCCTAAACCTACCGAACTGAAAAACACCGACCCCGAGCTCACTCGATTGAGAATCACTATAAACATCGTCCCTAAATATCACACAATTCCCATAACCAATCCTCAAATCCAAAGCCGAAGCAGAAAAAGCACAATCTTCCCCCAAAAACAAAACCCTATCCTCCAAACTCTTCACCTCCACCCACTTCTTCCTCTTCTCATCAAGCCTAAACACATCAAATCTCACAGCTCTCTCCCTTCCAATCTCATAAAACTCACCATCTAAATAACCATGCCCAATCTCATAAAACCCACCACCATCACCACCACCACCACCACCATCAACATCATCCCTCAAACAATTCACAAGACAAGACAAATATTTATCCACTAACAACAAATCACCCTCACTCTCCACCAAGAATTTCTTATCTCCACCAAACACGGGCCCCGCAACCATCTCCACACTCAAATCCGGTCCCACGACAACAGCCCGGCCGGTACTATCAACCGCAAACGGCCTCCCTTTATAGACACATACATCATCATAAGGCGTGAGCATATCAGGAATTATCATCCACTTCTCATCACACCGATCATCACTCCGTTCATCACCGCATCGGAACACAGCGAGTTTTCCAGAAATGTGAATAGTGAGAAGAATCGAACAGCGGCCTTTTCCGATCTGCCACGTGTCAGCGTCAGCTTCAAAAACAACAACCTTTTCCATGTAGAGTGAGTTGTTTGGAGGAAGAGAGGAGGATTGGGAAGGGAAGTTACCGATGACGAATTCGCAACCGAGATCGATGACAGGGAGGTGGTTGAAATCGATGGAGTTAGGGGAATGAATCGAGAATTGTTTGTCACGTGAGAGAGGGTGCCAGAGGCGAGTTTGGTCACGTGAGTCAGGGCCGATTTTGATTAGCCATGGTTGTAGGGTGTGTGGATTAGGGGGTGGGGAGATGAGGAAGAGGGTTCGTTTGGAGAGAGGGAAGGTGGAATCATGGTTGTTGGAGGGAATTGGGAATTTGGGAGGGAGATTGAGATGGTGGTGGTGGTTTTGAGGGGTGGAGGAGCGCCATGAGGAGCAGACGGAGCGGAAGCGGAGTTGGTAGAAATGGGAGTTGAGTTTTTGGGAGATGAGGTGGAGGAGGTCCTTTGGGAGTTGAGACCAGTCTGCCATGAATGGGGGATGGTAGGAAATTGGAAATGGAGAATATGATGATCCGGGGAGGGAAGAAATATTCTTGTTTCAATGTAGATGAGATCTTTTAAAATGATCATTTAATTGTTCAAAAAAATCATAATAGTCTTTTCCGTTTAAAAGACACAAATGAACGTTTGTTTTGTATACGTGGCAGGTGATGTGAAATGTTATAAATATCTTCTTCATTCTTTTCAAAATTGCATCACCCTTTCATTCTCTTCTACCCAGACTCCTCCAAATTCTAGGGTTCAACAATTTTCTTACCCTTTCGATTATGTAATTGCTGGAGGAAAATGAAGCAACCATCATTAGCGTACTCAGGTCAATGTTCATACGATTCGAATGTCAAGAGCGGTGATTGTTTAGATGACAATTTGCGATGGAAACTCATTTGTGGCTGTGGAGACACGACTTTTCTTCGAAGGGCTTCAACTCTCATGAATTTTGGGAAGCAATTCTGAGACTGTCGCTATAAGGTATTTAAATGGGTTATTCATATTGTTTCTGATCTATCCGAATTTTGAATAATACTGGGTTCATCTGAAACTGGATGTGGATACTTTCAATGGTTCTATGATGATGTGGTGGATGAGAAAGAGCAGTTTATAAAGAAGCAAAATAGTAGGTTGGTGTTTACCGTGGTTTTTGGTAAACAACCGTTGATCCTTCAAAAAGGAAAGTTCTTTTTGGTTACTTACGGGATCGATCAGATTAATCCCAGAACATATGCTAATTTTTTATGTAAGACAAGCAATCAGGAAGAACGCATGTTCGACCAGAGAAAAGATACTTGAGATTTTGGAAAAGTAGACAGAAATATAGAAATGCAGGTTGTGATACGGTGGGAGAACTGACTGTTTTTGGAATGCTGGTTTGCGTTTTGCATTTGTTTTCGCAAAATGTCGCGGTAAGCAAGAGTCGCCACCGACTTTTATTTTATCCAACAAGGAAAGGAAAAAAGTACAGAAAAATTTCTTTTTCGAGATTTTCTGAGTACGGGGGGTAGATTATAGAAAGGGAAGGTATTAGCACCCTTTCTATCCGTAGTTATCTACGGACTCTTAGGTACTTGCTCATCATTTTCAAAATTGTTTTCTTTGTGTTTGTGGGTTTTGAAAAGTTTTTATTTTAACTTCGATTTAACTCTTGCTTCTGTCTTCAAGAGTGTAATGAAGTGTTTTTGAAAACTTGTTTGTAAAGGAGTAGTAAGTGTGAAAAATTTGTTTGGAATGAGCAGGTACTTAAGAACTAATATACCTACTCGAAAAAGGAACTGTTCTATGTTTGTTTCCTTTAGACAATGTTATCCCACTATTAGCGAGTAGGTAGCACCGTCGTTGGAGTTTGAGGGTCAATTCGAAAGAGGGACATACGGTCACTAAAGCAATGTTAGGACGTCTTAGGGGTAACACTAATGTCTTAGATTATTTATCCGAGGCAACAATATCCGAGGCAACCTTTCCGAGGCAACTTATGATCTTTTAGACAAGAGGGCGACCTCTAAAACAACCTATACTCAATGACCGTTTACGAAGGCAAACAAGTAGGGTGTACCCTAGGAGTGCGCATGTGCGAGTGTGTTGATTTCAGATTATTTATCTTTGCACATGTTTAGGGTGATCTAACTGTTTTAAGATTAAACATTCATTCTTGTCATGCAAGCCCTATTATCAAACATCTAACAGTTGAATATTTGCAGAAATTAAAGTGCGGAATTTAAACTAAACTATTACAAGGCTTCGGGTATTTACATAGCCAAAAACAAACCCTTTGAAATTTAAAAGCGGTAAAAATAAATAAATGTCCTAATTTAATTATTACAAACCAGGAGTAGATACAATTATTGGATAAAAATAAAGCGCGCGAGAAAATTAGGTCGAATGCGAAAACTAGGATTTTGACCCTTCTATCCTAATTAAAAAGAAAATTTGTTTTTTTTTTTGTTTTTTTTAATATTTAAAAGAAATAGATTTTTTCTAAATTAAAAATGCAATTATTAGTTAATTAAGTTAATTAATGAAAAATAATTACAAGACCTATTTTTAGATTTTTGTTATTTTAGGAAAGAAATAAAATAATTAAGTTAGTGATAAAACCTAATTATTCTAATTGATTTTAATTATTTGCAAAAATAAATTAAAGTTATGTAAAATTAACCTAATTAAATTAATTGATTTTTTTTATTAAAAATAAATATCTAAAATTTAATTTGGACATAAAAATATTTTTTGGTGATTTTTTTGATAATTTGATAAAAAAGAAAATTAATTTGGTGGTTAGTAAATAAATAAAAATAATTAAATGAAATATAAACAAAATATAAAAGATGAGAGATGGGCCTGAAATTAGGGGGTGTGCATAGCAGGAATCTGGGCCTAAAGATATGAGGTCTGTTTTGACTTTCTTGATCCTATGTGTTGCGTTTGACTGGCCTGTGGTGCACCCTCAATGATGACCACCAGATTTGGCCATCTGGCCATCTGGCGTGTTGATGATGGAGGCCCATGGTGGAGCTCTTGGCTTGCATGCATATTGAATCTCCTAAAAGAAGATAGGAAAAATAACAAATGCTTGAGGCAGGGATCGAACCCCTGACCTCCAGCCTCTAACGCCCTGAATACTCACGTGGCCACCACTACGCCACTTTTGTTTTGTTGTACATTAATCAAACACTGAAAATAATATGTGAAACAAAAGAATATTGAACAACAATAAAAAATGCACGCAGAAATTTGAATGGGCGAATCAGGTGGATCCACGTAGTTGTCTTCCTCCTTGCACCGTGGCTAAAGGTTGAACCACCTATACCTACGGACAAAGTCTGTTGCTACATGTCTGTACGTTTCCAAAATCCTCCATGGGCAATGTAAATAACATCTAACACCATGGTTAGACTCGTCTTGTTCTCCTGATCTCAATGGTATCACTCATGAGGGCCAATTTTCCCTGCATTCAAAAACCCTAAAAAAAACTCCAAAAACCTAACAATGGTGATTCACGATTCAGTCCATTAAAATGCAATTGGCTATTGTAGAAAGTTTGCAAACATCATGGTGATCAAGAATGTACAATTATTTTATACTATGGATGCAAGAATGATGCTAATCGAATTCAAGAATATAGTGATACCTTTACGGACTTACAGTGCGTGGGAGGGCTTGAAAACGCTTGGTTTCTATTGCTTTAGGTTCCTGAGAGTGCCAGGAAACGATTGGAATCGGTCACGAGCCTTGAGAATGCCTCCAAGTGGGATTTTGATCTCACACTTTTTCCTTGATTTTTCAATTTTTGTTCTCCTTCTCACGCCTCTTTCTAACCTGTTTCTAGGTCTGTCTCGCCTCCTTATGTATCAAACAATGCATTAGGGTTGATCATTGTGTCCAAATCCTTCTCCATCAATGATTTTGGATTTGATTTGATTTGCTTTTAAAATCTTTCCAAACATGGCCTTTTCTCAATCTTTTTGTTCTCTCTAATGCTTTGCACGAATTTGAATGATGCTAGCAGTAATTGGAACCTGAAATAAGCACAAAATCCCTTGTTATCAATGCTTTGGATTTTTATTTGATTTAAATCGAATTAATTCAAATAAAAACCAAAATAAATAACAAAAATAAAATATGGACAAGTGGAAAAGGTTAAAGCACGTGGGGTATGTTGCCAACTCAAAACAAGTGAAAAAGAATGGGCCCATTTGGCAAAATTTGAAGTTTTAGGGATAGTTGACTTTTTGCAATTTTGCAAAAAAGGTCAACTTCACCAATGCATAACTTCCTTAATTTTGAGTCTTTGGAGGTGTTCTCGGACTTTTTAGAAATCTTGAGATGTCCTATAAGCAAACATTTTGGTCTCATCTCATTTTGATATTCCATGCTCAGGTATGAAGCTTTGACAAAAAAGGTGTTTTTGTTGACTTTTTAAAATGACCTATAATGTCCAAATTCATAACTTCTTGTGAGTGCATATTTTGAACTTGGGTGATGAAGATGGATTGTAGGGAATTTCATCCTCTTCAAAATGAGATTTGGATGGGTCAATTCTCATAAAGTATGAGAAAGTTATGCTTGGTCAAAGTTGGGTTGACTTTTCTTGCAAAACCCTAATTTAGCAACTTTTGAGTCTGGATGAATTATGAGCAATCCTTGATGAATCATGATCAACCCTTGATCAAATGATGAAATATACTTCAAAATGAGGATGTTGACCAAAAATCTTGAAGTTTGACTGTATGTAGGCCACAGTTGACTTTTGCCCTAGCACAGTCGATTTTTAGACCTTTGAGCAATCGACTGAGCAAACTTTCTCTGCAAGGCTTGAAACTTGACATGGATGATCTTGAGACCCTATTAGGAAAATTTTAAGCACTTGGGGTCCCTTGGACTCAAGTACATTGATGCAACATGAAACCCTAATTTGAGGTAGACTGCCTTAGGAGAGAGCTTGTCTGGCCAACCCTTGGACTACCTTGAGCAACTTGGGGATCTTTCTTGAAATATTTTGAGAAATATGGGAGGACAAATTTTGGGGTACAACAGCTGCCCCTGTTCAATCTTCTTAAACCTGAGGGTGTAGATTGGCTTTCGTGCCTTTCGTAATCCGAAGGTGGAAGATGATTGAACACTAAAGTGCCCAGAAATTTGCACTCGCATGAAGTGATAATCATCTTGTGATGTCGAGAATGGGCTTACAGATGCCATTTGGAAATTGCTGATGGGAGATGGGCTTAAAGATGTCATTCGAAGGAGTGTCGATCGCATAAGGGATCCCTTAGCGAGAGCTTGCATACCTGTCATTGAGGAAGATTCCGCTGGGGAAGGCTGATCTTTGAGAGAAATAGAATTTTAGGAGCTTCGGTGTCCGTTATTCTGCTGGTGAGTCGTCTCTGTTGATATTTAGGAACTTTGGTCGTCCATACTCAACTGAGGAATCATCTCTGAGTCGAGGAGGTGAAGATGAACTGTTATCTGGTCGTGGTC